TGTCTATCACACCCAGCTGCTTTTGCCATCCCCTCCCATTCTCACTCAGCTCTGCCTACCCATCACCCTCCCCCCCCAGCTCACCTGCCCCGTGACAGGCTCCAGCTGCTGCAACGTGGCCAGCACGAAGACGGCTGTTTTGCCCATGCCTGATTTAGCCTGGCAGAGCACGTCCATGCCCAGGATGGCCTGTGGGATGCACTCATGCTGCACTGTGGGGACAAGAACACGGACCTGGAACACACTACACCACACCATGTGTACCTACTAGGCCCCCCAACTCCCTGCAGGTACTCTAACCCACCAGACTCTATTCCACTGCCCAGATCTGGAAGAAAACCCTGGTGTCTGGGCTCCCAGTCTCCACTAGTCCTCAGCAAGCCCCCACCCCAGACCCTACACCCCTGCCTGACCTCAGAATGTCTTGAATTCAACCCCTCCCTCAAGAGCCAGAGAGAACCCAGGCATCTAGGCTCCCAGCTCCCCCTGCCCTAAGCCCCAAAGCCAGAGAGAACCCAGGCATCTGGACTTTCTAACCTGCCCCTGCTCTCACCCACCAAAACCTGCTCCTAAGAGCTGGGAAGAGAACCCAGGTGTCCCAGCTCACAGATCCCACCCCCCAAGTATGCAGGAACCCTGGAGTCCAGGCTCCCCCTGCAACATCCCCTCCCCACACCTGCACATGCAAGGCAGGAACTCCAGCACCCAGGGCCCCAAGCCTCCCCGCCAGAGTGAGGCAAGAACCCTGGCATCTGGGTTGCCAGCACCACCCCCCAGCCTGGTGGGAAACACAGAGTCCAGGCGCACCTTCAGAGGGGTGCTCAAAGCCGCAGTCGACGATGGCGCGGAGCAGCTCGGGCTTTAGCAAGAAGTCACGGAAGCCGGAGCTGTGGATGGAGACGTAGGAGCCCTTGACGTCCTTTTTGGAGGGCACATCCACGCCGTCGCCTGCGCCTGCGTTCTCCACCTCATCATCCTCATAGTCCAGGAGCTCATTATCCACGTCGTTCTCTGCCATGGCCGGCACTGCTGGGGAAGCAGGGGAGGGGGAGTCAAGCTAGAGGGAAATCAGGCATCCAGGTGCCCAGCCCCCATGCCTCACCCCAAAGTTGTGGAACCCAAGTGTTCAGGCTCCCCCCTCCACCCTTCTGAAGCCAACCTCCCTCCACCATCATCAACTTCCCTCCCACATCTTGCAGTGTACCCAGGTATCTGAGCCCCCAGCCCTTGCGCCTCACCCAAAGGTAAGAGAGAACCAAGGCATCTGGGCTCCCAGTTGTCCCTGGTCTAACCCCCGGGACTGGGAAGGGAACCCAGGCATCTGGGCTCCCAGCTCCCCTTACCCTGGCTCTGGGAGTTAGAGAACTGAGATGTCCAGGCATCCAGCCCTCCCTCCCCACAACTTAAGCCTATTAGACCTCATGTCTCACACCAAGCTGGATGAGAACCCAGGGGTCCAGGAACCCAGCCCCACCCCTCCCCTTTCAGCCCACCAGATCCCATGTGTCGAGCCACAGCTGTAAGAGAGAACCCAGGTATCCAGGTCCCCCTGCTTCAGCCCACCAGACACCTGTACCTTGTCCAAAACTAGGAGAGGACCCAGGTGTCCGGACTCCAAGCCCCACTCCCCAACCCCCCCCTGCCCAGGGCACACAAAACCCCCAGGAATCCTGGCTCCCAGCTCTCCCCACAATCCCTCACATCTAACAAGCTGGACCCTGTTCTTCTCAAAGTACATCCAGGCTCCTAGCCCCACCCCCGCTTTAGCCTACCAGACCCCAGTCCTCATCCCAAGCTTGAGATGGAACCCAGGCATCCGGGCTCCCGTCCTCCCCCTGCTCCAAGTCCCGTAGCTAGGGGGAACCCAGGTATTCAGGCTCCCAACCACCTGGGATACAGCTGCAACACCCTCAGCCCCACACACACAGCTGGAGGTGGGGGCAGGGTACCCGCACACCTGGGCTCTCTCCCTGCTTTGAAGGGGGAATAGGGGTCTGATGGCTTTGAGCACAGAAAGGGTGGTGCTGGGAGCACAGGCACCCAGGGTGTCCCCCACAGGGGAATAGCAGCTGGGGCAGGAGTGGGGTTCGAGCTGAAAGTGAGGACACCTGGGTTCTCTGCCCACCCTGGGGCAGCAGTGGGGGCTGGACATGTGGGTACCCAACCTCCCCCACAACACTAGGAGGGGGCAACGACATGACACCACAGAGCCGGGATGCATGGACTCGCTTCCACTTAATAAGTGGATGGGGGGGGGGAGGGACAAGGAGCCCAGATGCCTGGGTTCTCCCCGCACTCACCCCAGCTCCTAGGTGCCTGGCTCCCCCCCCAACCAGGCAGGTTTGGGGGGGCCTTAGACCCCCACCCCTATATTGGGGTCCCCCAGAGCAGGGCTCCTATGTTATTGGGGCCCCTCCACACAGCCCCCAGTGGGGGAGTCTGGGGTCCCGTGGGGGGCGCCCCCTTCCCACCATGCGTTGCAGCTACCCCCCTTCCAGCCCCAGCAGGGGGGAAAAGGAAATTCAGCGCGCCACGTTCCTGCCTGCCACCCCCTGCCCCGCCA